AAAAATAAATAAATTTTATTTTATAAAATGTTTTTCATCATTTTTAATAATATTATATTTTTACAAAAATAAAATTAATAACGATTAAAAAAAAACAAGATAAATCGAATAATTTTAATTTTAAAATATAATGAATTCAATAAATTCAAAATAAATTATTTAATCTAATTAGTTTTTATATACAAAAAAAGAATTTTCATACAAAAACACGATTAGAATTTATATTGTTTTGAAATTTCACAATTGTATTTTGGTTTTTGTTATTTAATAATTATTGTTAATTACATAAATATATTTATTAAAATAAAAAAATGACTAATTCACAGTTATATCCTTATTAATACTAAAATATTTCTGTAAAGAATTAATAATTTTATGCTAAAGAAATGACTAAACAAGTAACATTCTGAAGATTTTTTGAAGCTCTGTTTGTTTATTCATTGTTTTCCATGGTAATGGAAGGTTAGAAATAAACGTATTGAATTTTATATTATTATCTACTTATCTATTTATGAAAAATAACCGTTATATTTACTATAATATGCAGGAGAAAGCAATCTCGAAGTAAGAGTGTGGAAATTGAGAGTTATTCATTATAAATGGAAGCATTTGTGCATGTCAAAAAAAATATATCTACGCTATTATATAAGAAAAATATATTTAATAATGATTACTTAAAAACAATATAATAAATTTCCACTAGATTAAATCGTAATTATTTTGATATTTATAAATTTTTAATTTATTTTGTTTTAAATCGATTCAATCACGTTTATTGCGCCTATGGCATCAAAACAGACTTCATAAACATGTTGCAGTAGAAACTTACATCAAAAATTAAGCCTGTTGACTGTACTTATATAATAATACAAAAATATAAAAATCAAATTACTTTCAGACGGCAAACGATATCATAAATTTATTGAGCAAAGTCTATTACTAAATTTATTTACTACATCCTAATCAATTCATCTTTAACGAAGTTTACGTTATGAACTCCCGTCAATTCCTTCGAGAAACTCTTTAATTTCACAAAATGTGCAAAATTGCAATCCTATTAACTCGGATTATTAATAAAGGAAATATATAATGAGATTTACATTCTTAAGACATCGAGTCGATCTCTGAATCTACTTATATTAAAATTGCATCAATAGATTTATTAAAGCAATTTTAGTTTTTTTCAAAATGATTATTATTTATACTTTGATCATCAGTCTTTTCTTTTTTACTAAACTTTTCTCTTTTCTATGCTTTATTATCTTCTAATTATCTAAATGAAATTGTATTGCCTATTCATTCATTTGCCTACTTAGCAAATTGATTTGTAAATGTTCGTTTCATTACAAGCAATGGTAGTAAAGTATGAAAAAAAGAAGAAAAAAATGGAAAATTGTAATTTACATTCTATGGATGATGTCTTAGAATACTCCACCATTTTGATTTATGAGTTCATTAAGGAGGAATCGGATGGAGACTCCTTCTGATTAATCGTTCTCAATCGAATTGGAAGAAGCTTCAGCAGCACAAAGAAAACTTTCTTTTCTTTTTTTTTTTTTAATTTTCTATCTCGTGTATCAACTTTTCGACTTCTAACTTATCGTCTAAAGTTGATTATTAAAATAATTTTTCGCTTAAAATATATTAATAAATCTTTTTGATTTCATATTGCAATAAAAAAATCATGAAAACAAAAATTTTCTATATTATAAGAAAAATATAATAGATTTTAATATTTTTTCGTTTCTAATCTTTAAATTATTTAATAACTTCGTTATATTTCAACCTGTTAGATCAAGCAATAAATACATATATTAAAAAAAATTGTTCGATAGGAGAACGTATCTGAAAAACATTCCGAATGCTTTACTTTAATAAAACTTATAATGCCCAAAAGCAAATTTTTAATGAATTTTATAAAAAAAATTAAAAAAAAGGAAACAAACTTAAATTAGTTTGGTAATTTTATTTTTTTAAAGGATGAAAACAATTTATGTCTTAGATATCTGAAACCATTGTAACCCGTCCTTGATCGATAGAGTATCGACTACTTTAATTCTTAACGAAGTAATTATTTTCTTACCTTTCCGTCCAAGCCGGGCATAAAAGTGCCACATCTCTGGCATGTGATTTTGCCACAGTCGTGGCACTTGGAGCTCGTTTCGCTGGTAATTTCGGCCACGTGACAAATAGGACATAAGCTTACTTGCTGTCTACGCAAATCCGGTTGGGTAGTGGTCATCGTTCTGCCATCTTGTCTCACTTGATCGGTTGGCCTGTTGAACACAATGTATACAGTACTCAGCATTATGTAAATAACATCTTAAATATTAATTTAGATAAGAAAATAATTTTTAAGACGTTTCTTTATTGGAATATTTTGATTTTTTTCACTTCGATAATTAATTTTATTTATTTCATATTTATGCGAGATAAAGTTTATTTAGAAATTTATTTAAATATATACGTTTTAATGTGTGAAAAATTATATAAAATTTGAGATAAAACTGTAAAGCTGAGAAATAATTTCATTTTGAATAACATATTTATATAACATTCTTCTATGAGCACTGTACTGTACTTTTGTATAAATATATATTTGAATTTATTTTATAAGACATATGTAAATTCTGTATTTATGATATAAACTTATCACATTTTCTAATAAAATTTATAGAAATTTTTGAAGAACTTTTTAGTACTTTTCCTCGATGATGATACCTTTGTGTGCTGTATAACCACCAAATCATCTGCAAAATCTAAAAAATGCCTAAACAAATAAGGACTAAAGTCTTCGTTTTTCCTGCATTTTACTGATTAAAAACTGATAATGCTTTCTAAATACTGGAATAAAAGTTAGTTATTGGAAGTAAGATTCTCTTTTATTTTGTATATGAAAAACATATCAAAGGGAGATATCGAAGGAGTGCTTTACGCCAATTTTACAACGTCCCTAAGCTACTAAGGAAACCTCATCTTATCAAACGTCACATACATCTAGTTTATCGTCAAACATTAGCTTATCTTTAATGATTTGCTCGTTAAAGGTAATGAGGTCTTAAAACAAGTGCATCTTCCTTTACCTTAAAAATTCTTGATTATCATTTCATTTATTAGGAAAAATGTCTTGTTATCTTATCGTTTTTAGTTAAATAATTCTCGATTTAAAAATATTGATAATAAATTTTATAAACGATTGCCTTTTGATAATTAAGGCATATTTCTATCACAATTAACCTATTTTATTTTCTAATTAAATATTGTGTATCTTCAAAAATACTTTAACATTACATGTCACGCACTGTTATTAATTTTATTACAACAAATAAATTTAATACAAATAAACGTCGACGTTTTTATATTGTGTTTATTAAGGTTTATGTATTGTAGCTATTACTTATTACTATATAACTAAGGAAACCTCTTTAAGGTGTAATAGAGCCATTGTTTACTTTTAGTCATAGTTGACTGGGTCTATATACAGCTAGATGCTTTAACCAATGCCATGTTTTGCGTAGTTTCGGGTTATCATTTTGGCACCAAAGTGGAGATGTGACACATTAGTGCGATTAATCTTAGTAAAGCCGCAGGTGTGTTTGCAACACAACCGTTTCGCTCAAACAAATGGGAATCACGCGTAACCTTGGTGACGTTATCACTCACTATTTACTGTACTCGTTGGCTAACCCCTCTATTTTACCACTTAAGCCTCTTTTTACTTCTATCCGATGTTATATCCTTCACAAATGGAATAAAGTGTTAAGCTCTTAAAATTCGAAAGTAATTGGATGGCTTAAAAAAAAGAAAAAATAACATATAAATTAATTTTGAAAAATTCTCTTATTTGATTCGATTACAATTTTTCATAATTTTCGCAATAACTCGATTTAAATTTCATAAAATTTATATAATTTTAAGAGTATTTACGGTCGATACACTTCCTAATTTTATCAGTGTATTCACTGCCTAGACACACCCTATTATTTTCGACACTCAAATAATCCGTATGCAGAAAATATAATTACGTTTGAAACATCAAAATATACAGTAATTAAAACGTTCTAACACGAATACTCTTTCGTTACACTTGAAAATGGTAATGTGAATAGAAACAGCAAGACGAAAGGAATGCTTTTTTCGCTTAAAGAAACTAATGAAGCGTTTGAAAAAATTTTTATTTTTTATTTTTTTGTATTGACAAATAGTACTGAGTCGAATGTAATGCTGACGGTGACCATTAACGTTACTTTGCTACTCCATTATGTATCCGGAGTTTACGTGGCGGTAAATATAATAAATTTTTATGAGAAAATCAGTAAATAAACATATGAAAAACTTACATGAATTTTAAAAAGTTACTGCAGCTTTATCTTGATAAATATAAATTAGTTAAATGAGTAAATATTTTAAAAAGCGATCCAAATTGGAAGCAAAAGTATTTGAAACCAGAATAAAGCAATGTTATATAATCTATCCACAGGGGCGGTGCCACAAATTAGCCTCTCTCTTTGAACTTTTAATATATCCATTCATCACCGAGTTTTCAACTGGGTCCAGGCGTGGTCGATTTCTTCTTTCCTATCTTCCTACCTGAATTATCATTTTTCATGCGGGATTATCGCGAACCTTAGCTATGCTATTCAAATTTATATTGATAAAAATTCAAGAAGCTTATAGAGAAGCTAAAATATTCGCATAAAATAAACGTAGCTCTAAAAATAAGTTTTTTTCTCTGAATTAATTTGGATATTATTTGAACAAGTTATGTAATTTAATAAACTGGAATATTTTTCGAGAAGTATACGAACTCGTCGGATGAAAAGTAAGTGCAGCAGTTTGTCTAAAATAGGTAATAATGTCTTTGCAACTAAAGACAGAAATAGTCTTCCCATAAAACCTATCTTTATTGCTGTCTTCTTTGGGATTTTGATGTCTTTGCTTATCGCAACATTTATAACAGTTAATCACATTTTTCTATTGATCGATTGATGTTGATATCTGCTAGGTAATTCTTTTTTCATATAACAACAATAAATTATTTGTATAAGTAATCCTATTTATAAGGATACATGTGGTCAGTTATCCTAATTCATATAGGCCTATACTGTCTTGGAGTCTTAACATTACAGCATTACTAATTTGAGCTTTCTTCATCATATAAACTAATACGTAATTGATATACTAGCATATTTTCCCATAAAAATTTATGTACATAAGCAAAAGTAAAATCGCTTCTTCACACTTTCTAATTTTTACTAAGACAAGTTAAAACTAAAATTTTGTGGATACCCCTTGCTACTCGTCCGATGACAAAATAAAAATTTAAATAATTTCATTATTTACCATGATCAATATTCAACAAAAAGATAAGGACCAATTAATGACACACAGAACATTGCCAGATTATAATATCCTCTTGTGATATATATACGATATGATAGCATCTAAATAAAGATATCCTTATAAATAAAAAGTCATTAATTTTTAATTAGTGTACGATTTTTTTAATAAATCTGAATCACCAATATTGTTATTATAATCAAATAAACTGATACAGTAGAACCTCGAAAACTCGGCTCTCGATAACCCGGCACTCCGGATAACTCGGGCACATCCTGGCAGAGCAAAAAAATCCTTAGTTAATTAATTTTCATTATAGACAGCTTTATAAAAGTATAAAAGCTCTCATAAAGTATTTTTCTGAGGTCTGTCTTATCAGGTAAATTACTGTACACAGTGTATTCGTTAATTTTCATTTTCATGTAGTAAAGGCTCTATGCCTTCATAAAGGACGTACTTTTCCTTTGTTTAAGGGTATTCGGGCAGTTTATTCTCTGTTATATTCTCAAGTAAACAATACATACAAGTACAGTACAGTATTTTCTGAGGAAACACTCGCACTTATTTTTTTTAACCCCATTCCCGATAACCCGGCATTTTCACAAACTCGGCCACCCTTCGGTCCACATTAGGCCGAGTTTCCGAGGTTCTACTGTACTCAAAGCTTTTAAAATCTGTAAAATCTCAATCAGTTCTATACTAAGCGATTCCCCTCAGTAGCGGATCCAGAAGAACACAAAGAGTGAGCTAGTTCAAAAATTAAAGATACGCCAAGCTCCATTATTCATGCATCATCAAAATATTAGATTTGCTGTAAAATAACAAAGTATCATAAGCAATATTCAGCTTTGCTTTTTTATCTCAACTGTCAATTCTGAGGGACGGAAGTGAGGTGTGTCATTAGCCCTGGAATATTATTTTGCAGTAAGCAAAGTTGGTGCTATAAACAGGAATTTGAAAAAAAAATTCTACTAGTGCTAAAATTAAAACACAATAATTTCGAAAAAATGTAAGAATTATACATAGAAATATAAAATTTAAATTTCTATGCGATATTTTTGAAAACAGAAGAAATCTGTATTTTTATGTTTATTAACTATACATTTTAGCTTACGAAACTTGAGACTCACACTTGTATCGCGTTATAACGGAGTTCATTTAGAATCTCTAAATAGCTTTTAACAGTTTGGATTATCCGTGTTTTCCGTGCAAACCCGAGCATTAAAATTAACGCGGATAATCGGAATTTTGGTGTATTGAATAATTAATAAAGACCTTTCATTAACACGCGAACGATTGTACTGCGGACGGTCATAAACCGTATTTACCATAGTAAATTTTTTTAACAACAACGTTTTGAAAATGAGAGAACCATCCCCAAAAAAATCCTTGGGTTTTTCAGATTATCACTCTGGGAAATCCGGTTTCATTCCCGGGTTACCCAGAGTGGTAGTCCGACAGGCTAACGTTTACTTAATATTAACGAAAATTATATNTATAAACAGAAACTACATATATTTTTAAGTAAATTTTTTTATAAATATATTTCAACTTTTGAGATAAAAACTTGAAGATTTTCTCTTCACGAACAGTCAAGGAATATGTATAATGCAAGAAATTATCATTCAAAATAGAAATCATTAATCACTGAAGCTCGTTTGATTCCCGTGAATGATGAGGAAACCAAAATTTATTCCATAAACTTTTATGCAAATTATATCATAATTTACTATTTTAAAAAGAAATGTAATTCATTGATAGAAGCAAAATGAATTAAAATTTATGAGTTTGAGTAATTTCCGAAATCAAATAATTGCCAAAATAAATGGAATTTATGAAAAAATTTATAATATGAATTCTCATTTTATTAAGTAAGATATACGCAATTTCTTATTCTTTAATTTTAACTTGTTCGTTAACGATTCATTTTAACATT